ATCCTACTCGTGACGCAATTCTACTCTACATTGTACTTTCAATGTTATTATATAAGAATTACGGATCACCTTACAATGTAGAGTAGAATTTGCGTCACGAGTAGGATTTTCATTTCGTATTTTTGTTGGTCGTTCGGAATCCTACTTAATCTTGTTTTTTTAAATTTTTTATGTTCTTGTTTGTGTTAATTTTTTTATAATATTCATAATATTTCTTTAGTTGCCATTGTGATGCTTGTTGATTTTACACAAACATTAATTTTCTTTATTATTATTATCATTGTTATGACTTTACATCATTTATGAGAGACAGCATTGAATAGACATGCTGAAGGAATATCAACTATCCTGATGACAAGTGAAATTAATACTAGTCTTGATACAAGTCCTTGTTCAAGAAGCTGTGAGCTGAGAGTGTCCATCTTCCCTGCAATGTTGCAGCAGAATGCAGCTATTCCTGTTCTTCCAGGCTGTTGTCATTCATATTATCATTGCATATCATACATTAATTAATTGTTTGTTTTTTTTTAATAAAATAAATCACACACTTGATAAAACAGTAACATGTAAGATTAATACCTTCTTTTAGCTGGAAACCTCCACTAAAGTATTGCAGTAGTTGATTCCAAGCATAGCTTGGTAAAAAAATTAATTGCTTCTTCCAGAGCTGCAGATCTCTAGATCTGAGCATGCGCGACCACACCCAAATTTTGGAGCACATGCTTCTTTAATTAACAAAATGGCGGCATGCAGCTAAGATGGCTCGATCCAGCAGCCACAGTGCCACTTTTTCCTTACTTGAAGAATGATCTGATGGGACATGGACCTGCGCATAGACTGTTGGAGTAGATTGGTGTAAGAATTATCCTTGTAGCACCAACTGATACTGAGATACACACCGACAACTGGATTGACAGGACTTCTTGATGATGATGATGATGAAGATGAAAAAGGTGGCTGAACAAAACGGCCGGTTCGCCGATTTTTGGCTTTTCTCTTAGACAGGGCCTAGAGCCACGCTATTGGTACCAATGGAGTCCTCTGGTCAAGATAAGGTCCTCTATAAAGTCTGGTAAGCATAGGAGCTCGTTTTCCCGGTATACCAAGGCTGCAAAAGTCGTGGCAGCCATTTTGAAGTGGGGTGAATCCTACTTAGTAACGCTACCGCGTTACTAATAGTACAGGGACTTTGACCAAATTTCACCAAAAATGAAAAGTAGAGAATTCTCAATTTTTATGATATTTTCTGATGCATATACATGTACTTATGTTGTGTAGAAAGTTTGAGCTGATTCCGATCAAAATTAGTTAAAGTTACTCAAAAATCGGGCCGAAGTCCCTGTACTATAGTACAAGGACTTTGACCAAATTTCGCCAAAAATGAAAAGTAGAGAATTCTCAATTTTTATGATATTTTCTGATACATATACATGTACTTATGTTGTGTAGAAAGTTTGAGCTGATTCCGATCAAAATTAGATTTTTTATGATTTTTTAAAGTTACTCAAAAATCGGGCCAAAGTCCCTGTACTATAGTACAGGGACTTTGACCAAATTTCGCCAAAAATGAAAAGTAGAGAATTCTCAATTTTTATAATATTTTCTGATGCAT